GGAGAGGGTGTGGAGAAAAGGGAATGCTCTTGCACTGTTGGTGAGAATATAAATGGATAGAGCCACTATGGAAAACAGTATGGAGGTTCCTTAAAAAACTAAAAATAGAATTACCATATGACCCAGCAATCCCACTACTGGGCATATACCCTGAGAAAACCATAATTCAAAATGACACATGCACCCCAGTGTTCACTGCAGCACTATTTACAATAGTCAGGACACGGAAGCAACCTAAATGCCCATCGACAGACGAATGGATAAAGAAGATGTGGTACATATATACAATGGAGTATTCCTCAGCCTTAAGAAGGAACGAAAATGGGTCATTTGTAGAGACGTGGATAGATCTAGAGACTGTCATACAGAGTGAAGTAAGTCAGGAAAAGAAAAACAAATTTCGTATATTAACGCATATATGTGGAACCTAGAGAAATGGTACAAATGAACCGGTTTACAGGGCAGAAATTGAGACACAGATGCAGAAAACAAATGTATGGACACCAAGGGAGAAAAGCGGCGGGGTGGGGGGGAAGAATCGGGAGATTGGGATTGACATATATACACTAATATGTATATAATGGATAACTAATAAGAACCTGATGTATAAAAAAGTAAAATTAAATTAAAAAAAAAAAAACAGATTGGAGCAGTGCAGCCACAACACCAAGGCTTGCTGGTAAGCAATATAAGCCAGGATACAGGCGTGCAACAGATTCACCCTCAGATCCTCCAAAAGGAACCAACTCTGCTGACACCTTGATTTCAGAGTTCTGCCTCCAAAACTATGACAAGATACATTTCTGTTCTTTTAAGCCACCCAGTTTGTAGTACACTTTGTTACAACAGTCTCAGGAAACTAATACAGAGGCTTAACTAGTAGGAACTATGTGGCCTCATGGGAAATCCATCTTCCAGCTACCATTTGCTAAGATCAAAGACGTGCCACCAAATATATCTCTACTCATATTGTTGGCCTTCTAGCATTTTTTACAGAGCCAAAGAATAATACCATAAAGGAACCTGTGTAGCTTAGAAATTTATACCATCAAAACAATATATAGTCGACCAGTGGCTTAAATTCATTGCTGACCCAGGGTGGAGCAGGCCAGGGAACCAAGAAGTAAAACACTTTTGACTATTCAACCTAAAAATTAACAAACAACAAAAAGAGACACCTTCACCACATGAAAGGATCATCTAAAGATGGCTTCAAACTAAATAGAAAGGTAGGTTTCAAACAGGGTGTCAAGGTCTGTGGTACTATGGAGATGGCCAAGGCATTTATTTCCAGAGAAAGTAAACGGTGCTTTTCTTTCTTCTTGAACTCTCCATGGGGTAGATAACTGGTTAGGAAGTACTGACTATTAAGGAGAGGGATGAGAAATCCAAAGTTTAAATAAAAGACTACAGTTAGCTTAATAAGAAGAGTCCTTTCAAAGGATCAGAATATAAAATCAGTGACATCATATGAATGACATAAAACCAGTCTAATCCCAGGAGAAATATCAATACAACTGATACAACTACATCTAAGAACATGGAAACATTTCCCAGCCATCTTTTTGTACAGTCATTACCTCCCCCCACTAATAAAATGGTGTTCAATTAATTGAACTAAGATTTTTAACATTAAAAGACATGGAACCTCTGCTTCCAGGTAATTCAGAGTAGCTGCCACAGAATTACACTCTGCCAAGAACAGTAAGAAAACATCAGATAAACAGAAAATAATCTTCTTAAAGACATCAAAGAGCAGCCAAAGCAATGAAGACTAGAAGCACTAAGATTCCAAAGAGCAAAAAACAACCTCAGAAGTAATAATAGTTGACTTGACTTCTGCAGCCACTGGGGAGATCTGTGACTCTGAGCTTGGGCAAGAAGCTGAATATCTGGGCTTTTCCCAGCCGTGAACCACTGCTGGAGAAACAGAGACACCGGCAGAGCTTTTGGTGGTCTTTCTAAGCTAGAGGGACACTGGACACTTGAGGGACTGCAAACACACAGCCAGTTTTCCCTTAGAACATTCGCTGAATCTGCAGGGAGCAGGAGGCTAAAAAGCTAAGCTAGATACCTTCTGAAAAGCAGAGCTGTTCAGGGCTGTCTCACGGTGCTGAGGAAACCAAGATCCTAGTTTAAGACCTGCCAATGGGGTGGGGCAGAGAGTGCAGCAGGCCCTCCGTCCAGTACCCTGGAAGAGCCAAACCCCAGGAACAGGGGGACCAAACGAGAACTAGATTAAGATGATCGTCTCCCACTCTATGTGCCTGGGGAGGAAAGAGTAAATCCTCTCTGGGGTAGAGTGACACCATCTGGGGCTTCTACAAGTTTTAAAACACAGTGCCTACCATCTAATCAAAAATAACCAGACATGCTAAAAGATAGCGCTGTATGACTGAAAACCAAGGGAAAAAAAAAAAAGCATACAATACAAATGGTCACAATAATTCAGATATTAGAAATAACAGTCAAGAACTTTTAAATATCTATAATTAATGTGTTCCAAAAAAGAGGAAAAGATGGAGAAAATCAATTTTCCTAGAAGTTTGAGAATTTTACTGGAAGATTAGAATGTACTTTAAAAAAAAAAGGAAATCCTAACACTGAAGTTTAGAAAAAAATGTATACTTCATTTTGATTACGGAACACTTGACTCTCTGTAAAATTTTATACTATGCTTCTATATATACTATATTCTTTTAAGGTTTTGTTCTATATGTTTTCTTTTTATTACTTTTATCTTTAAAAGTAATTCATGCTCATTGTAACCAGTGAAGTAACAGACAATGGAGAAATTATTAATTTCCTCCAATCGTCCACATTTTTACCAGCCTAAGGTAACTGGTATGTGTATGTTTTCACATCCTTCTCTATGCTTATACAAATATATTATTCAAATATATACAACAGAAAACAGCTTGGTGTTTTCTTGGTGGTTCCTCAAAAAGTTAAACATAGGATTATCACATGACCAAGCAATTCCACACTCCTAGGTATACATCTAAAAGAAACTCAAATAGTTGCATACAAATGTGCACAACAGTACGATTCAAAATAGCCAAAAAGCAGAAACAACCCAAATATCCGTCAACTAATGAAAAGACAAATTCTAGTCTAACCATACAATGGGATATTATTCAGCCACAAAAAGGAATGAAATACTGATACGTGCTACAACATGGATGGACCTTGAAAACCGGATGCCAAGTGAAAGAAGTCAGACACATATTGTACGATTCCATGTGATTCCTTTAATGCAAAGAATCCAGAATAAGTAAATCTATAGAGACACAAGACAGACTGGTGGTGGTCGGAAGCTGGGGAGAGGGGAGAATGAAAACTGTTTTTTCTCTGGGGTGAGCAAAGTGTTTTGGCACTTGATTTAGGTGGTGGCTGCACAACATTGTGAATGTACTAAATGCCACTGAACTGTTCATTTAAAATGGTTACGTTTATTCATGTTATGTGATTTTCACTTCAATAAAGTTAAACACACACACAACAGAGATTCTGTTGTTGTTGCTATTGCTCTTTTTTCCCCCTCCAATTTTTTTTTTACCTATAAAGCCAACTCATTTTTTTAACAACTGCTATTAATATAGAGTACAAATGTCCTATTATTCATCTAACCATTTTTCTATTAATGGGCAATTTATTTCCAGCTTTTTGCCATTTAAGGCTGTAACAGCATCCTCATACATGTATGTGTTTGCATTACTACAGGACAGACTCCCAGAAAAAGGGCCTACGTATTTAGATATTTCAGATTATTTTCTGGAAAGACTGTAGCAATTCACACTCTTAGCAGCTTGTGTGCATTTCACCCTTTAATTTTTGCAGATCTGAATGGGTAAGAAATTGGTTTAATTTATTGTTACTTTATTTTTTTATTTATTTTTTTTTTTATAAATAATACACAATGTATTTATTTATTTATTTATGGCTGGGTTGGGGCTTCCTTCCTGTGCATGGGCTTTCTCTAGTTGTGGCAAGTGGGGGTCACTCTTCATCGCGGTGCGCAGGCCTCTCACTATCGCGGCCTCTGTCGTTGCGGAGCACAGGCTCCAGACGCGCAGGCTCAGTAACTGTGGCTCACGGGCCCAGTCGCTCCATGGCATGTGGGATTTTCCCAGACCAGGGCTCGAACCTGTGTTGTCTGCATTGGCAGGCAGATTCTCAACCACTGCGCCACCAGGGAAGCCCTATTGTTACTTTAATGTACATTTCCCTAGCAGCAATTGTTCATCTTGTCCTACTGGCCACTTGAATCTCCTCTTCCAAATGAACTCCCTATTCCTAACCTTTGTCCATTTTTCTATTTGGTTATCCTTCTGTTATCAATTCATAAGGAGTTTTTCAACATTAGCAGTTTTAATCATTTAACTGTCATATATAATGTAAATTGTTTCCCTGAGTCGTTCATTTGTCTTTTGCTTATTTATGTTGGTCATGTTCTCCTTAGATTTGAATTAACAGTCTTTTGGATCTTTCTCATGCTTCATCTCACTGAGAAAAAAGAGGACAATAAAGTGATGGAAGAGAATAAAGCACAAAGGTCCAACTACTGTCTTCGGGGGAAAAAAAAAGATTCTTCTTTTGGCGCCTTTTTTTTTTTTTTTTAAACAACTGAGTTCTGTTTTGTTTTGTTTTCTGGTATATCTATTTATTTATTTTTACTTATTTATATTTGGCTGCGTCGGGTCTTAGTTGTGGTGTGTGGGCCCTTCACTGAGTCGCACACTCTCTATAGTTGTGGCGTGTGGGTTTTCTCTCTCTAGTTGTGGCAGGCGGGCTCCAGAGTGCGTGGGCTCTGCAGTTTGCGGCACGTAGGCTCTCTAGTTGAGGCGCCTGGGCTTAGCTGCTCCGTGGCATGTGGGATCTTAGTTCCCCGACCAGGAATCGAACCCACATCCCCTGTACTGGAAGGCGGATTCTTTACCACTGGACCACCAGGGAAGTCCTCTGGGCACCTGCTTTTAAAACTTCACTTAATGACTCACCTGCATTACTGAAGTGTCTCTTGTTGGGGTGACTATAGTTATCTCTTGGGTGTCCATGCATCTGTGGGCCATGAGAGGCAGGCAAATGAGGCTTCTGGGGGTGAGGGTTGTGCGGGGTGTGGGACTGAGACATCAGGGAATCCCGGCTTGAACCCGAGGCCTCTGCTCGAAATGGTTTTTTACCACCAATCGCATCATCTTTCTTCTTCTGCTCCTGTAGAGTTTTGAAAGGAAACCAAAGACCCTCAGGATCCCAGGTGGAATTCCCAAGAACAGTATAAAGATCATCACCTTTAAATATTTCCCTCTTGACTTTTGACAGTCCCTCTCGGCTTCCCTGCTGTTTACTACCTTCTTAGGAAAAAAATGCTCATGAATTCCACTGAGCTCCCAGGGCATGGAAAGCCTCACAGAGCTCCATCTGTTGCTCAACCTGCTAGGCCACTACAAAGAAGCCAATCTCCAGTGACCTGCAGCTGTCAGAAAAAGGGCCCAGGCCGCTGGATGTCACTGCACGGGGCGAGGAACAGGGGTCAGGCTGTCAGCACTCTTGGAAATTGCTCTCAGGCCATGTAAAACTGGGACCACCAACTTCTTCAGGCTATAACTCGAACAAACAACCCCTGACTGGCCCAGTGGGAACTAGTTCCCATGCCAAAGTCATCAAGCTAAACATCTAAATGTTTAAGTAACACCATACCTTTACCACACAAGTGAAATATCTGACATAAAAACATCAGAAAATACAATAAGGAAAAAATAAGAACTGTGAAGTGACCTAAAATTTTACCACCAAGGGAATTACTGTTAATAATTTGGTCTATGTCTTTCTGAGCCATTTTGCATGTCTATACATAATACAGTAGACCCCCCCCCCCAATCCATGGGAGATACACTTCAAGACCTCCAGTGGACGCCTGAAACTGCAGATAGTACTGAACCCTATATGTACTATGTTTTTTCCAATACATACATGCCTATGAGAGTTTAATTTATGAATCAGGCACAGTAAGAGAATATCCGAATTGCCAGCATCACTACTCTTGTGCTTTGGGGCTACTATTTAGTAAAATAAGGATTACCTGAACTCAAGCACTGCAATACCACAACAGTCGATCTGATAGCCAAGAGAGCTACCAAGTTACTAATGGGCAGGTAGCATATAGTGTGGATACGCTGGACAAAGGGATGATTCACGTCCCACGTGGGAGAGGGCAGGACGGCACGAGATTTCATCACGCTACTCAGACCAGTGCGCAATTTAAAACTTATGAATTGTCTATTTCTGGAATTTTCCATTTAATATTTTCAGACCATGACTGACTGCAGGTAACTGAAACTGTGGAAAGCAAACCACAGTGGGGGGAACTGCTGTGTGCGTGTGCATGCGTGCGTGTGTGTGTGCGTATTTTTTTTAAACAAAAATATTATTTGATATTCTTTTTTTACTTAATGTATTGTAAAAATCTTATGTGAATACTTACTTCCACAATATTATATTCATGGCTGAAAATTCCCTGATATGGATATATCGAGTCATTTCCATATAATCATGTTTAAACCAATTAATTATCTCCTTCGACTAAATTCTTAGAAGGAGAATTGCATGTTTTAGCCTTTTGGTAAATCTTACTGAACTGTCCTCCAGAAAGGTTGTGAATGTATACTATAACCCCAACTAGTGGGACCACTACTTTGATTATTCACCTTATCCTAACTTCTGATACCTAGAATAATGAAGCCCTTTACCCTTTACATCACTTGTCCAACTTCACTCATCCTAACTTTCACTCTTTCCTAGAGGGCCTTTCCCCAACCATTTCATTCCCTCCTGGGGCTTTTCCTGACTATTCTTTCAGAGACTTTTTACAATGTATAAAATTCACAGTAACATTCAGCAGTATTACTATATTACTCCTGTATATTACTGTTCTACCATATTCTTCCATGTAAAATTAAATTATAAACCACTTGAGGGTGCTACTCCACAGCTCAGCCATCCTAACTTTCCCTCTTTCCTAGAGGGCCTTTCCCCAACCATTTCATTCCCTCCTGGGGCTTTTCCTGACTATTCTTTCAGAGACTTTTTACAATGTATAAAATTCACAGTAACATTCAGCAGTATTACTATATTACTCCTGTATATTACTGTTCTACCATATTCTTCCATGTAAAATTAAATTATAAACCACTTGAGGGTGCTACTCCACAGCTCAGCACAGTGCTGGGCACAGGATATGCTTATGCAACAAATACTTCTGAGCCCCTGCCCTGCGCCTGGCACCATTCCAGGTGCTGAGGATACAGGAGGGGATGAGAGACATAAGACCTCAGCCTTGACATGGTAGTGAAGGAGGTATTAAATGTTTCTAGACTGGCGCTACATGGCTAATTGGGGTAGGGCCCACGTGGCAAGTCACCAGATCTGCAAACGGCCATGCCTGAACAAGGAACGCTGCCCCTACAGCATTGGCCAAATCACTTCATGCCCATGCCCCTCCACCAAAGAATGGGAGGCAGCTTCTGGGCACCTTCTCATGTTTGCTCCTTTACATGAGCGGTTGGGACCCTACGCACAAAAGCTGGAAGGACCCCAAGTACACGTGGCCCAGAAAAGAACAGAAAAATTATGTGCTGCCCATAACTGTTATCTTTCAGGAGCCACATTTATAAGCTACCATAAGATATGTGCATATGGAAGAAAAGCCCTGGTGAATAAATGATTCCAGGATGTAAGAACACAAAGGAACAACTCCTTGTCAGAATTTCCACACTGTCTGGTTCCAATACATTGGCTATTTTACCCATCGGGTCTTAAGTGTTAGTCTGACTACTCGTGGCACATGTGGAGAAACTGCACAGCTAACACAGTGAAAGAGCCCACCATCCAAGAAAGGCTGGGCTGTGGTGGGCTCCTGCACCCCCTCTTGGACCTAGACCTCCATCTGCAAAGTAAGGGCAGAGAACCCATGCCCTTTCTAGCACCAACGACCTATGAGTCTATGATCATCTCCTCAGGAAAAAAACAGTAATTAAGGAATTTTTCTGTGGAAATGGTTTTTATCTGTTTGTATGAATTAGGATTAAGTTTGTATTTTACCTCTTCTTCTTGAGACCTTTTCTTGTGAGCCATCTTGTATAACTTATGCAATTTTCGAGCATCAAATTCTGTAAACTTGGAAACAAAAATCCATAGGTTCCTTAAAAAAAAAAATTTGTTCTGGTGAATTACAGGATTTTAAAAATAACTATTCTCTTTATCGATGGCAAGTTACTGAATTTTGCTGTGGAATACTCTCCAAGTATAGAAAATAAGTTACAGAAATAATCTTTCAGGTCTTGGCAACAATAATAAATACACCTTTAAATGCTACTGTCAATAGAATTTGACCTAGGGGTCTGGAGATGAGGGTCTGTCTCACAGCTAAAACCCCTCTAATTTATTTCACTGGCACCTAGGACTCCGGACCTAACGTCTTCCTCCACCTTCTGCACTCCCTGGACTCTGCCGGGCAATCTGTCATTACCGCCATATCCCAGGTGGGGATGTATGTACGGCTGGGCATCTCTGCATTGCTGCCCCTTCTTTCCTCCCAGTCGTCACCACCAAGGCCTGTCATTTCTACCTTAAAACTCCAAGGGATTCTTCTCCTCCAATTCCACTGCACTCACTCTAGCATGGCATTACTGTCAACAGGGGAGTGACTGGTAAAACAGGTGTGTAGGACAAGGAGTCACAGGTAACCTCCGTGAGCTGGAACGGAAGGCTCACATCCTCCCACACTTCCTGGAGAGCAGTCACACCACACCGTGCCATGCCACTCAGAGGACGCTGCCCTGGCTCTGGACAAGTAAACCTGCTGCACAGTGTGGAAAACCATTGCCTGCCTTTCTAAAGCCTTCTGTAATAGGGCTTCAGTCATCTTAACGAACTGCCTTTAAACCCTAAGACCCTCCCAGTCCCTTCACTGTCCCACTTTCAGGGCTTTGCTGAAGCCTGAGACCTCTCCTCATCTAAGCAGGTCCACTCTGCTCTTCCATGCCAGCTCGATGTACCTGCCCAGCCCTCAGAAGACTTCCCTCCCTCACGACTCCTCTGCATGTGCTTATTCCTTCTTGGAATTCCTACTATACTCGATCTTCCAATCACCACTTCATCGTGGACAGTTCCTCACAAGTGGGCAAGGAACTGCTTATGAACCACACAGCAGTCCAGGACCACAGTACCTGGCACATCTAAACACAGACTGGCCCCAGTGCACAGTATCCAGCCCAGCTTCGTGGATCTATTCGTTAGGATGATGCATTTTCGTTACAGAAAGCCAGATGGCTAGATACAGGGATCTGGTTTGGGAACAGTGTAAAAGGAAAGTCAAGTCACATTTCAAAACTTAGATCTTCTTTTTTTAATGGGTGTGAAGCATGCTATGGATAGCATCATGACAGAAGGTTTTCTTAAATCTCTTTTTCACTCAAAAGCCAATCCACTGATATTAGGTATATTATACAAAGATAATTACATTAACCATGAAGTATCAATATATGAGTTCAACGTAACTGTGGATATGGAAAGAGACTTAATGTTACAACTGTCTTTGAGAAATTCCAGTCATGTTTTCTTAAAACATCAAAAGTGAATATATAAATGAATATATGTAAGTCATAATGCCTTACAAACTGAAGTTCTGGATTAACTGCATTAATCCAAATTACTACTAGAGCTCTTCAGTTATTAAAGAGAAGAGAACTCATAGCTCTGGTGGTTTTAGCCTTTGCTTCCTCTCATGAGGTTAGCATAGAACTAACCAATTAGTTATTATATTATCTCTGAATATTAACCTGAGATGGGTAAAGCAGTGAAATTATAGATGGTTTCTATCCCTTCCAGGTCTAAAGACTGAGTTTTTATTCTGAGGACAGGCCAGCAAATCCAGTATCACGGTATTTCTCTCATAAAATAATGACATCATTCTACCCACTCAAAAGATTGGTCTCAGAGGAATGGCCTATTTCAGGAAAAGAAAACTGAAGCCTGCAGGTATGTTGCTAATAGACTGCTTTTGCTGGGAAAAAAATATTTCATTAGGTGGCTGTGACATGTTGCATAAAACAAAACAGAACCCCTAACACACACTTTGTCATCAAATCAAACCAGGCAATTTGAGGCTGTGGCTGCTTACCTCCTCCACAGTTTGATGTGCTCCTGGTCTGAGTAAGCTTTAAGGCACTCGGCTATCCGGTCCCCGATTTTCAGCAGGCAGTTCCGGGTGTGCTCCAGCTGTTCCTGTACACTGAGCCCCTTGTCAGGTTTATCCAACTGTTTCAGTGCCTTTTTCACAGGCCTCATCCTCTCCTTACACTGGAACAGACCAAGAGTAGAGACATAAAACATCTGCAGCAAAGGCAGCTTCAGCTGTGCTTACTGGGCCCTAAATTCCCAGAGAACACACAGCGCCCCCCAGGCCACATAATCACTAGAGGAAAAGCAGGTAATGGCAGGGGAACAAGTATAAATGTTAGAGTCGGAAAAACCTGAGGTTCAAGTCCCAGCTCCATCGCTCAGAGCGATGACTTTTACAGCTTACTTGGCCTCTCAAAACGCTGCTCTGTTTCCTCATCTGCAAGAGGGGCATGATAACCTCCCAAAGCCATTATGAAGATAAATGAGAAGCAAAATTATAGACCTAACCTGAAAACCTCCCATCACAAACTATCTGAAACTACAGGATAAAATATTTACAAGTCCTTTAGACTTGTAAGAAACTGAGGGAAAGGTTTCCAGACAAAGATAGTAGACTGAACACAAGAATCTTTTTCTCCCCCTCCCCATCCACTAAAACAACAGTAAAGGAATCGCCATAAGAAGAGATAAGCCCACAAAGACATGGAAAATGAGAGGAAGCAACAGCAACAAAATATTGGCAGCAAGTGAAATGACTCAATAGACCTGAGACAATGAAATCCTAACCCAGCAGTGGAGAGAGCTGAGAACCAACCTGATTTATACTGCAATTCCTGCAGAGGCTAGCTAAGTATCTCTGGAAGTAGGGAGGAGGGCTAAAAATAAGGATTTTGTTTTGTTTTGTTTTGTTTTTTTAAGACTGCCTAAGAGGAACAGATTTATAATAGACGCCCAGACTTCCAACTCTGCCCGACAAAAGATATGGAGGTTTATTCTCTGGAGAGAATAAAAGAAAAGTCTCTGAACTGGGCTACACAGGCATAGTTGAGAGGCAAGGCTACTACACTGAGAATAGCATTGTATGAATATATGCATATTAGATAAGCCACCGCCCAGTCTTTTTATTTATTTGTTTATTTTTTGCCTCTCAGATTCTAGAACGAAGAAAGCCAGGCCTTAACCCTCCAGTCAGGAGACTGGAGGATTCTTGTCCCCAAAATCTGACCACCCAAGAGGAAGAACCAAATGATGCTGACTCCCCACTGGAAGTTTTCCAAGGAAGCAGCCCAGCCAGATCACCCTACAGAGAACACTCTCAAAGTCGATCAAACCCCACCCACATGTTCAGAGCTTCCAATCAGATGTTTAGTCCCTACTCTTAAATACGAGCCGACAACCAAGGATTACCAAGCCATTTGAAAAATATCTAACATGAGTGACGGAAAACAAATCTAAGAGAAGTATAAGAACATTCAGAGAACCATATGGGGAAAAAAGATCTTGGAAATAACACATGACAAGAGAAATGAAAACCTCAAAAGAAATAATGGCAGATAAAGCTGAGGAGATCTCCAAGAAAGTAGAGTTAGAAAAGAAGAAATGGAAGAAAGTTTAAGATAATATTAGGGACCACTCCCAAAGTCCAATATCCAAAAAGTAGGATAAAATTAAGAACTGAGGAGGAAATTATCACAAAATAATTTAAGAAAATTTCTCTGACCTGTAGAGCATGGTTTTCAGCCACTAAGTATCTAATATAAGGAACTATTAAGGCACATGTTCATGTAACTTCAGAAGAGTGAAAATCTGACAAACTTCCATCACTTTGTGATAATTTCCATAGCTATATACTTACAATTTATTTTTCAGTATTGTACTTAAATTTTTTAAAAGTACACAAAATAAACTGGAAGATACATGACTGGAACAGATAAAAGATTAGTTTTGCGAATGGATACAGGATTCCTATAGAAAAGGTAAGAAGAGAAAAATTACCTGGAACAGGCAAAGGATATGAAAAGGCAATTCACCAGAAACATGAATGCCCAATAAATATGAGAGTAAATGTTCAACAGCACTACTGGTCAATAGTTCATACCTCTTAGATTGGCAAAAATTAAGAAGTTAGAAATTACCAAGTGTTTCTGAGACTGGGAGGCAGCTGGAACTCACATTCGTTGCTGGCAAGAGTACAAATCTCTACAATCACTTTGAAGACTAATTCCACAACATCTAAAAGCAGTAGATGTGCAGACCCAAAGAAACACCCAGCTTTTCTGCTCAAGCTACACAAGAGCGAAGCTCTTACACATGTGTATAAGAAAATATTTACAATTTCACTGCAGCCAATTTGTAGTAGTAAACATTTGGAAAACCCCAATGTCCATCAATAGGAGAAAGAATGAATCGTGGAAGTCATAAAACAGAATAATATGAAACACTGAAATCAGAGACATAATTATCAACATGGATAAATCTCAAAAGTGTACATGCTGAGGGAGGAAACGCAAGTTACAAGATACACACAGTGTAGCATTTATTGATAGGTTCAAATTTTTGCTCTACATCTTGGACAAGTTACTTAACTCTCCTCACCTTATTTTTTAAGGGGTAAAATAGAGATAATTACCTACCTCATAGGTTGTTGTGGAGAAAAAACACAAAAAGCACACTAATAATGCCCGGTTGTTTATATGAGCTATTATTTACTGTCTTTAGACACATTAAGTAGTAAAACTCTAGAACTACACATGAGAATTACGATTTGCTCTACAATGAAATTAGAATTGTGGTCACTTCTAGGGAGGTAACAAACCATGACCAGAAGCGTCAACTTTATAGCCTGAGCCTTAAAAAATTCAGACCTGACAAAACTTGATGGTACCTCTATCAATGCCTATTACATTCCTGAAATGTTTCTGTATTTTTAGAAGATTTCATAATATAGAAACAAGAGTAAATGAGCCAGTATGTAAATGCAATTTTTCTTTTTTTAATTCAAGTATAGTTGATTTACAATGTTGTATAAGAGCAATTTTTTAAATAGTATGGTACCACAGAAGCGTTAGTTATGATTTTCTCTTTTAAACACTGCGCTAAGGAAGAAGCAGGAAACAGATCAGAGAGCTCGTTGTGTAATGAATTTATTCATTTACTCATTTATTGAGCTACTTCTAGCATCTACACGTACTTTACATAAGACACAGTACTTGCCCTCAGAGAGCTCACAGGAAGAAGAGTAAAGAGATTTAAGAAAAATGAGATAAGTGCGAAGAGAAAAAAAAATACACGTATGCATACAGGTTTCTGGGAACACGGGAAAAAAAGGGTAAAAAGAGAGAAGACTGCCTTACAGGATGAGGTCAAAATTCTATGCTTTGCTTCCCCAGAGCAGGAATATTTTGAGATTTGGAAGATCACTTTCCCTCTGAAACTAAATTAACTATTCAAGTGAACAGTGATGTGTGGAAGTTTGGGGAAAGGAAAAGACCTCAAGAGAGGAGGGGAAGGGAAGCGAGTGCAACACAATGAAATATACACATGCAGCTCCGGTAAGGGCCTAAGTCCCTGAGGATGCACTGGCCTGTTTCCATCCCATACAAGGCTTGGTACATGACTCCTCCCCTCACCTGCCCTGTCTCCTATGAGGAGATGGACCACATCCTAGGCCACGTCTTGGCTCCTAGCCCCACAACACGGGAACACATAAGATAGGCTGTGCTCGCCACCGCTCCAGCTCACGCAGCCAGGACCCCAGCCTCATCTCAGGTCATGCTGCTTAGACCGACTGAGGCTGTGTGGCGGGAACTATGAAAGGCAAAGCCGCAGCAAGCACTGTGGCTGCAAACCCCAGAATTCCTCAACTTTAGGACTTACTATGCTGAATGTCTCCTGGTCCAGATCATCATCCTCATCCTCTCCAATGGGGACAGGTTCGCTTCCTGCTGTAATATGGACAGGACCCTGAGATCGCTTTGATTTACTTGAAGATTTGGCATCACCACCTTTAGGCTTTTAAAAAAGAGTTACAAGGAATCATTGTCATTTGTGTACTCCTGTCTTGCAATTTGGACTTCTCAGCTACGTCACATCACTACAAGTGGGTACATAAGATGGCCTCAGTTTTGAGACATCATGAAGCCAAACCTATTTGATTAACAGTTTAATCATGTCATTCCCACTTCTGTCTCTAAACAGAGCCCATTATAATTTCAGCTTCACCAATGCTATTCTGGCTTCTATTCCCTAAATCCATAAAATGCGTAAAAATGTCATCAAGAGGTTACGTTCGTGAATTGGCAGAGCCCTCACAGAGTAGCTTGTAGCAACTTCAAAATGAAAGTACACTTTGACCTTGGAAACTGTATTAACTAAAATATTTCAAGTGACTGAAATTTACATAAATCCACATGGGTAAAGTTCATTTATCCATGAAAGGGTGCAGAAGGATGGAGACAGAGGTACATATAAAAAATAACTTTAGGTATGAACATTTAAAAACATAAAACAATACTATGCTTTGATTATGATTACGTAATATGTAGTAAAAGTATAAAAACATGGGCAGGATGGTTTCACACGAACTTCAGGGCAATGTTACGGAGGAGAGAAGAGGAAGGAGAGCAATGAAACTGGGAGAAGAAACAGAGGGGAAGCCCAGTAATGAGTGCACGGATACCAAATACAGTAGCCCAAAAAAAACCCACTTGAAGTAAACATGAAAAATGTTAACAAGAGCTGCAATATCTGGGTAGTGGACACATGGATGCTGGCTAAATCATTCTTTGTGCTTTTATTTTTTAAATATTTCACCTTAAAAGAAGAATACCTTTCTGCAGAAGCACAGATGCAAAGAAAGGTATCTGTTACAATACAGTTTATAACATTAGAAATTTGAAAGCAATTTCAATATGGGAAACTTGAATTGTTTCCAAAATGTCATCATCAAACAAAATCTTCTTTATCTATTAAAAATGATTTTAACTTTTATTTATTCACTTGAAAAGCTGTTTGTGATATATTGCTAAGTGGGGAGAAAAGGTTATCCAAACAGTCTGGTCTTATTTTTATTTTATATTTGTTCTTATATGCATAATAAATAAGTTCCAAAGGTGCTCATCAAGAAATCTGTTAGAGCTATGACTGGATGGTGGAATTAAGGCAGTTATTGGTTTGTATGTTTTAACAATGATTAAAGATTAACTGCAAAATAATTTCATCAGAAGTCAGCGAGATGCAACACTGTACCAGAATTCTGTGGTTTGGAATGAACTTCATAAAACCCCAACATGAAGATTATATAATAATAGTAGGGCTTTCACCCATTTCTACTCCAAAAGCTTAACTCTTGATAGTATTTGATAGTATTTCACGTATTCAGTTTCATCTGTGGACTGTGCTTTTCTACCATGAGTCTGAGAACATGTATCAAGTAGTTACCTGTCCTGTCTCATTCCAACACCGCCTCTGAAATGTGTACTAAAAGAGCAAATAAAGGCTTCTATATTAAAGAACACCACAACTCACACACTCCCCTCTCTCTGCAGGAAGAGGTGCAGACAACCCCCTGACAGCCCCATCCTTCCTTCTGGGATATACTCATAAAATGACAATTATTTCAGGGCCCTCAAACCCCATTCCACTTCTAAATCCTAGAAGGGAATTTCAAAGGCTGCAGGCATCTCAGTAAGTAGAATGACATCAATACCTTCTCTTTCTTATCTTTTGATTTCTTCCGTTCCTTGTCCCCTTCCTTGTCTTTCCTAGAACTCATTTGTTTCTCCTTGTTCTCCTTGTTCTCTTTCTTCTTCTGTTTCTTTTTCATTGGACTTTTTTCTAAGCCATCATCCTAGAAAACAAACAAGGTTATGAGCTTTTGCCACAAACTTTACATTTCCTCATTTACTTTCTAGAAAAAAAAGCACTGCCCCCAATGGTTCATCAATGTGTCCACAGAAGCATGTTCTCAAGCATACAGCCTTAAAGCTATCTGCTTAAAGTGAAGCCTGTAGAGGCAGATGCTCTTCACTTACATCTTCTTTTTATTTCTCATAGCAACCCTGCAACACAGGTGTTATCATTCCCATTTCACAGATGGAAAAAACTGAGCAACAAAGAGATTATATACCTGCCAGGTAGTAACTGGTAACGTTGCTAGTATTTGAATTCATGCATGCTTGACTCAAATCCATGCTAGTTCACATACCCACTGCTGATCCTCCTAGAAATTACCTCAAAGGGCAATTACACTTGAAGAGTAACAAAATAAAATCCCATAAAGTTTTCAGTCACTGAAACAACAGACTGAATGCTAGCAAGTTACTTTTCATTTTGCTTAGACCAGAGGTTACAAGTTGACAGGCCTTGGGCCAAACCTGATCCACAGATGAGTTTTGTTTGGCCCAACAATGAACTGCATAACAGCTGCCCCTATACATTAGGCATGAGCTCCCTGGTTAACCACAGTCTCCACCACTCCCTATCGCTCCCAGCAATGAGGCTGAGTGTCAATTGCCATTTATCACTGAAATTTGCATGGTTCCCTTCATTTCCTTCCATTACGAATTTACTTCTATTATGAATTTTCAATTGCTGATTTTAAATGAACAACTATATTCCTCTCTCACAGGTTAAGCAAAGACATAACATAGTTTCTATTTTTATTTTATCTACTCTGGAATGTAAACCAAACACATTTCAGATGATTTTATACCAGTTGGCACAATAAATGTAACTTAAAAATAATCTCAACTGAAATCCAGCCTCATACCTTTACTTCTCCCTCTTCTGATGGATTATCTGAGTGTCTAGGAGATGAAAACTCAATTCCATGCTCATCTTTCAGCCTCGGTGCTTTATTTTCCTTCTTTACTCGAGGCTTCCGCTTCTTTAATTTGGCCTGGAAAGGGTAAGAAAATGATGATAAATCAAGTCCCTCAAAAGCATGACCAAATAACATCATGATTCTTTGGAACAGCAGCAGCCATATAATTCAAACAAGGAAACTCAGAGAAAATTCAAAGGAGTGCAACCAATTTTACCTGAAGTAGAAAAAAAGAAACTATAGGCCTTATAAATCTCCTATGCCACACAAAAGCATCCATATCCTTGAACCTACTGATTCCATTTTTTGGAATTCAATCTAAAGATAAAAATTCAAAAGAAGAAAAAAAACCCTTATGTACAAAGATATAAATAAAGATAATATATAAAATAAGAGTAACATTAAAAAAACTAGAAGCATGTTGTATCTAAAAATAATGAAAAGGTGTTCATTTACTCAAACAGATACAGTAATTTAAGCAAGTAAAAACATGATGCAGGGGCCTCCCTGGTGGCGCAGCAGTTGGGAGTCCACCTGCCGATGCAGGGGGCACGGGTTCGTGCCCCGGTCTGGGAGGATCCCACGTGCCGCGGAGCGGCTGGGCCCGTTAGCCGTGGCCGCTGGGCCTGCGTGTCCGGAGCCTGTGCTCTGCGACGGGAGGGGCCACAGCAGTGAGAGGCCCGCGTACCGCAAAAAAACAAACAAACAAACAAAAAAAAAAACATGATGCAATCTGTCTCCCCAGAGCCTAACTTATAGAATATCCTCAACATACTATGTGAAGAATGACATTAATTATGACACTACTACGCAAAAAAGGACAAGATATGGGATTGGATTTTTTTCTAAAATTTGCTTTCTTTATAATATAGGGAAATTAATACAAATGGCATAGCTCTAAGAGCACTTAAGGAACATGCACACACAAAGGCTGCTACTACTGGCTGTAACTTATAGTATCTCCTAACTGTGATTCTCATCTTTTTAGGCCTGAATTGAAGTGAAAAGGTGGGGAAATAAAAGCTAAAGCTCAGATGAGTCCATTAGTAACTCGGTTGAAATTTTTTACTAAGCAAGTAAGGCAACTGTAACTGAAGTCCAGTTTCTGAATTAACTGTGTATCCTAATTACCCATTTTATCCCTGGGACCCATGATTACAAGTAGCCAAGTATTAGCTGTAACAACAGGCAAACCCAGTGATATTCACACAGTACTGAGAACTATATTCCAAAATTGAGGAAGAAGCATAAAGACACAGCAACAGTATGTCTAGACCAGTGGCACTGGGAGAAATGAGGACTATTTTGAGGCAATATTTGAGGAGAATGCCAAGATGTTTAGGTCAATTACTAAATGAACATTACTATCGTTACCCAACCAAGCCATCATTACTGGAACCCCAATACCAACACCTGACAAGGAGAGGTTAGCGTTCTGTGGAGATGCCTGGAGAGGGCATCTCTTCCCCTACCTAACCCTGCAGGGCTGGAGCCTCAGACCCCTGGACGGTGCCCGGCTGGCAGCTGCACTCACCTCTTCCCCTACAGTCACGGCCCCCTCCTTCTCCAGACTCTTCCTGAGCAGCTTCAGCAAGTAGTCCGCTCGGGTCTGCAGCTGCTTTCCCTGGGGCTTTTTATCTGTCTCCACTGGCAGGATCTTCAACAGGAAAGGAAGAGAAGTACCCGCCACGGCCCACGGCCCGGTTAGTGGATCAGGATAAACAGAGATGACAAACAACTGAGCAGTCCTTTCCCTCCCCACCACCCAAAATACAGATAAAGCCTCAGATCCTATCTCATGTCCATGGCTCCCAGTCACTGAAAATCCCTTATGAGCCGTTCTCGTTTTACAAAATGGGATGGAGAAATCCAGCTCTCCCACTGGCTCCTACCTGTGCTGTTAACAGGGTAGAACAACTCAGGTAGGAGGGGCTTGTTGGCTTCATCTGCTAGAGCATCCCAGCCGTCGTGGATTTCCTCCTTCCAGGAGCAGGGAATCCCTGGAGCTAGGTTAAAGCTTCGTTTTAGATTGAAAATGCTTCTTAGAGCATTGCTGGAAAGCACTGAGCTATGCCAGGACACAGCTGGACCTCTCAGGCCAGACTGGATTTGGTCTCAGTGCTTATGGCAGGGTGCTGTCACCCTCTGAGAACATTGCACCTGGGATGAGCATTGTTTGACGTGCCAGGAAAAGCCCTGCCAGGAGCACAACATGGAGCGCATCCTACTAAAATTTGAGCCAGCTTTCCCTGCTTACAGCTCTGAGCACGGCCTTACTATACTTGGTAGCCTGATGTGCAACGGATAGGGTGGGAGGCTCGATTTTGTGGGAGAAGTACAGCCAGAGTTTAATTCCATTACAAAAAATACCAAGGTAGGGCTCATTCTTTCTTCATGTGTAGAACTGAAATATGGCTGTTTCAAATATCGTTAAAGAAAGTGCCAACAACTAAGGCTGAGGAATGCTCTTATTATTAATAATCTTACCCTGGTATTTGTTGCAATGAGATTTGACCTACAATAAAAATCAGAATTTGAAGACTTCTCCTATAATTTCCCAAAAATTTCACCTGGCTATAATTGTCATCTCTGAAATAGTGCCACAGTCCACTAAAGATGGTAGTGTTTCCAAGGATAAAGAAATCCCAGGAATTTACTATTGTTCTAATTTCCAATTTGATCCCCACCCCCCAGAAAATAGTTAAAAGTAAGTAATCAATATAAAAATATTATACAACAAATCTTCTAGACATCTCCAGCATCACAGAAATACTTACTTTGTCAGTTAACTTAAGCTCTGGATCCGTTTTAATTAGCTCCCAGTTTCCATAGCCGTGTTCATAAATTCCCAGTAATAGGCGAGAATCATCCTCTACTCCCCACTCGACATCAAAATGTGCAGCTTTGACACGACAGGTTAAGCAGTATCTGAAAAGATTTCCAAAGCAGTAGGACATTAGAGGAGGGGTCTTTCTGATTTTGGAATAAACACCAGTGAGCAAAGCACTCTGGTATGTTAGAGAAAAGGCAATGAAAATACTACATAACTACACATAACTGTAACTTCAAATCTGTTTTCTAATGGCACAACCACCCATGCATGGGCATGTATTATACTCACTTTTTTTTTTCTTCAGGGTCTACAGGGATAGATTTATGCAGCATCTCAAACTCTTCTTCATGTTGGATAATAGATTTCACATTAACCTGAACCCCAGATATCTTGATAGTTGGGCCTCTCTTTTTCCCTGGTCCTTTCCCTAAAGAACACCAATTTCATATTCATTAAGTGAGAATTCGCTGAAGTTTCACAGAAAACATAGGTCAACAAATCCTGAACTCTTATTCCCTCAGCGTATATCTCTGGTTTATCGTTAATTCAAAGATATAATCAAGTAAGGCAAAACATTTTCCCAATTAATGTTTGTAAAATAAACTCTAAACAATTCAGTTTTTTAAGATTTAGAATTTTTTAATCCAGTAGTGTTTATAATTGTATTTTAATCTTCCTATTCCTGTTTTATACTTTGGCTCTAAAATTAATAAAACTTATGAAAGAAGATTTTAAAGGAGTAATATAAATGCTGAAGTTTTTTTCTTTTCTAACCCATCACCAGATTTTTAAGTGCTTTAAAAGATGATCTTCTCTACTAAAAAAGTATGAGATCAAGTTAATACCTAACACATTTGAAATGATGAACAAAAGAAGGCATGGAAAGGTTACCCTAGCCCGAGTTTCCAATTCAAGTAATCCTAGAAGTAAAAACAAAGCAGTCAATTCTAACCAAAGAGTCCAAATCGAAATGCATGATAATGACACTTGTCTGTGAGGGAAAAGATGGCTCAGAGCCTGAGAAAAGATTTCTTTTTTTAACATTCAAGTCGATGAAATGGCACTACAATTATAAACAATTATTTAGGGATTCTCATAGAATCCACTAGAATTTCACTTGCAAATGCTATTCCCAACAATACTGATGGGTTCTGGAACAGAATGTGGCAAAATGGGAAAGGCACCTCCTCTGAAGATCAGAAATCTGGGATTTATTCCCGGATCTGCACAAACTACCCCCTGTCCCCTTTCCCCTCTCACTTCTAGTTATTAACCTCTCTGGGTCTGTGTTTCCTCATCTGTAAAATAAAAAGATTGCAATAGAAAAATGGGCAAAGGATAAAGAGACAATTCACAGAAAAGGAAATACAAATGGTTCTATGTGAAAAATACTCAACCTCATTCATGGTAAGAGAAATGCAAATTAAATATATAGACATAGCCTTTTTAACCTCAGGTTGGGAAAATTCAAAGATTTGAAAATATGTCAGTGAGACTAAGAGGAAACAGGCACTGCCATTCTAGTCAATGCTGGTGGGAGGATATGGTGCAAATGGCATACACACAAGATTATTTACCACAACACCGTAAAGCAAAAGATTGGAAAGCTAAACGTCCATTAACAGGATACTAATATTGTAAATCCATAACAGATTATGTAGCTCTTCAAAAAAAAAAAAAAAAAATCAGGCAGTGGAGAAAAGATCAACCATCTTTAATGAATGGTGTTGAGACATATAGTGGCCATACAGGAAAAATCCAAAATCCAAAAAACCTGGATGCAATACCAGGAAAAACTCCAAGCGAATCAGAGATATAAAAGTAAATGAAATCACATAGGTGTTGGTGGTGGTGGGGGGGGGGTGATCTTAATGACTTCCTTTATATCCTCAGAGTAGAAAAATTTTTTTTTTAGTTTGTTACAATATATTGAATATAATAGTACCTTGTGCTATATTAAATCCGTTGTTTACCTCTTTTATATATAGTAGTGTGCATCTGCTAATCTCATACTCCCAATTTATCCCTTTCCCCTTTGGTAACCATAAATTTGCTTTCTATGTCTGTGAGTCTGTTTCTGTTTTGCAGAGAAAATGTTTTTAACTAATCAAAATCCAAAACAACAACAGGGTAAAAGATTGATAAATGTGACTATATAAAATTTTTTTAAGTTTTCTGTACAAAATACCATAGCAAAGTGAGAGGACAAATCACAAACTGGAGAACACTGGCAACTTTTGTCAGAAAAAGAGATCCTGGGACTTCCCTGGTGGTGCAGAGGTTAGGAATCTACCTGCCAACGCAGGGGACACGGGTTCGATCCCTGGTCCGGGAAGATCCCACATGCTGCGGAACAACTAAGCCTGTGAGCCACAACTACTGAGCCCCTGTGCCACAACTATTGAAGCCCGCATGCCTAGAGCCCGTGCTCCGCAACAGGAGAAGCCACCACAGTGAGAAGCCCACGCACTGCAAAGGAGAGTAGCTCCCGCTCGCCGCAACTAGGGAAAGCCCACGCGCAGCAACGAAGACCCAACACAGCCAAAAATAAAATAAATAAAAATTTTTAAAAATTCCCTGTATTAAATCTTCTTAAAAAAAGACAAGAAAAAGAGATCCTAAAAATTAAGACCAACAGCTCAATAGAAAACGGGCACAATATATGTACAGACAGTTCACAAGTGGCCCTCAGAAAAGATGCACAACATTGCTCATTAAAAGAAAAGTGAGATGCCATTTCCCAACTGTCAGTTTGGCAAAAATCCAAACATTTGACAATACATTCTGTTGTGTATGAATATACACTGTAGGTGGCAATGTAAATGGTATCAGATTTATGAAGAATTTGGCAGTATCTAACCAAATTACATATGCATTTTTCCCAGGACTCAACAATCCCACTTCCAGAAATTTATCCCAAAGATATGCTGGCAGAGATATGAAACAGCATATTCATTAAACTATTTATTCATTGTGGCTTTATTTATAGTGGCAGAAGACTGAAAACAACCCAAATATTTATTACTAGGGGACAATAAAGTTTGAATTAACATCTATCTACACTGTGCAATTGTAAAAGGAAGAAGGTATGAACTCTACACAGTAAGATGGAGTGAACGCCATATGTAAAAATAAGTAGATGCAGAACAGAATATAATGTATGATATCTCCTGTATAATAGAGGAAATACACACACACAAACTTAAAATTTTAAAAAGAAACAATGGAAAGATAAGCCCCAAACTAATAGAAATGATTACCTACAGGGGAGGAAGAGAACAGTACTGGGGGGACAGGAATGAAGGCAAGATTCTCTCATCCTGCTCCTGGCTTTGTTCTGACTTTGGGCCATACAAACGATTTACATAATTAAAGAAACAAAGTTTCATCAAAAGGAGAAAAGTAGTCCCTAGAAACTGAAAAGAAAAGAAAACAAAAGATACTAAACTATATATTAAGTTGGTGGCATAACCACACAGAGAAAAGAACAATTTCAAATAATTTTAAAACATAGTACTTTGTGTACTGCTAATGAGGTGTATTTTAAGGACAAAAAGAAACACAAGGAAATCAAACTCTGCATTAAGAAGTCTTATAGTTAACAGTAAAATTAGGGGGATTCCCTGGCAAACTAGTGGTTAGGACTTGGCTCTTTCACTGCCATGGCCCAGGTTCAATCCCTGGGCAGGGAACTAAGATCACACAAGCCGCACAGCATAGCCAAAGAAAGAAAGAAGAAAACAAACAAACAAAAACAGTAAAATTGGTACTAATATTTGGAAACGTGTATAATGTATAAGACAAATACATGATTATGTTAACATTTTTAGGAAGAAAATTTTCAACTTAAGTAAAGAGATATCAATAATCTTACATTAGAATTGGAAATGTTAACCTGGACTCAGGAATATGCTAAATGACAATTTATAGAATATACAGGTATATGGAAACAAGTCAAGCAATGCCAGAAGGAAGCAATCAACCAGATGCAGAATGTGAACATGCAGAGAAAAGAAACGTGGAAAGGAAGGGACTGTTACAAGGAAATATCTCCAAATATGCTGTGAGATGGACAAAGCAAGGTACAGAACAGTGTGCATGCTACAGCACCAATTGTGTTAAAACAGTATCTATTCACTTTTTGAACATATGTATTTTTATATTTCTAGAAGGAGACAAGAAATAGGGATACCTGTTTTTCATTTTTGAGCCATGTGAATACTTATTCAAAATAATTACACGGAAAAAAAAAATATTGTAAAGTTAAGATTTACTTTTGGATGTATTCTTGGCGCTATAAAAGCACATATTTGGATCACTGTCCAAACCACTCAAGTTATTTAAGTTTTTTTATGGAAAAAAAAATCTAAAAATGTTTTTGACTATATTCAAGATATTTAAAAATTCTATTACTTTTAGTAACAGCCTTAAGAAGAAAATTTCAAAGCACAAATACTTCTTTACTTAATGAAATAGCTAACACTGCAAGCCAGATGTGATGACAAGCACTTCACAGGTATGGAATTATCCAAGTGACCATCCAAACCCTTCGAGGCACAGACTACTACTCTATTTTGCACATGAGACTGTTAAGAGGCTATCACTTGTCTCAGGTCTTGCAGCTAAGAAATGGCAGGACCAAGATTCCAGGTAAACTGGCTGCCTCCAGGGCCTGAATACTTAACCAAAGATGACAGAGCATCCTGTAACGTCAGTGAAGGGTGACAAAAGAATGGGGGCAATGGCACAGATAAACCACAGTCCAGTGAACTGTGGAATGACCACACCCTCATCTTTTTGTTTGAGGTTCAACTATAAGGGTGTCCTTTAACAACAAGGACCTCAGCTCTCTCCTGACACCTCCTGCTTTTAAAGGACAGGCAAAAGCACTCTTGGTGTATAAGACAAAACACACTACAGGTCGAATCGAATTATAGCAAATTCTAGTGCCAAAGAGAGTCTCATTGCAACAAAAAGGTTTACAATATTCATCTACTATTTTTATTCTAACTAATTCTCTAAATCCTTTATCACAACAAAACAATACATGTATGTATATCCAAGATAATTACTGATGTTTGTGGTCTGTAATGTCCTCACTTACAGCCAAAATGCAAATGTGTCCACTCAGCTTTACCCACTCAGGTCTTTACATCATTCAAACCAATCTAAACTTTCTACAGTAACATTAAAAGAAATCATTCATCTTGTTCATTACTTTGCACCTTCTGCAAATCAACTTCATTTGTGAGTAAATCTTTGGAATCTTAAAACTGAGCTCACATAAAGGCAGGTGAGAATACACACCTCAAAAAATTAGGGATGCATGGGATATAAGTGTGTTCATCTTTAAAAAAAAAAAAAGATCCTTAGCAGCAGAGATCCCAATCCACAAGTGCCAGGTCTTTGAGAATCACTGAGGGAGACATGCTGACTTACCCTCGCTGGCATTTTCTTTCAGCTGCTCTTCGTATTCTTGCATTGCTGACACACAGCTGTTGTGAATCAATTCCCCTAGGCGCTTCAGATCTGCTACAGACTTATCTACCAACTCAGCATCACGTGCTATGCACTCCAGCCTGAGGAAAGACAAATACGGGGATACCTCAAGGCCCTGTGCCCACGTTTCTAATGTCACGTGAGCTACCACTTGGTTTCACATAAGCTTGCTCCTGCAAAGACACTTTCCCTACATGCCTTAATTGATCCTTCCAACAAGAACACCCTCGGACAGTGACTGACGACTTACTTTCCATCATAAAGAATTTGACTTGGAATACTCCACAAAAACAGACTAATTTCAAAAAACAGAGGGGAAAGGGTTCAGCTTTCTTTATTAACTAAATGCGCTGTCTGATAACAGTAGCAGGTGAAGTGCCCTAAAGCTATTTGCACTAGCTTGTTTCTTTGTGCTCACTTGCCTTTCTCTAGCCTACTTTCATTCACTGCAATGTTCCTAGAAGCAAAGTACGGTTACATGTACAATATGTTTCGTTGATCTCCAAGTCATCTGGAGCAGGTGAGTAAATTAATGTCTAAAAACCAGGCTGTCAAAAGGTGCCAGACCTTAAAAATGGAAAGTAGAACCAAAAAAAGAAACCTCTACAATACAGAAGTGAAAAAGAGGCGGATAAGGAACTATTATATTACTAAGCTTACCGTTCAAGAGGGAGACCGAACTTCTTATATGCCTTGATGAACCTAAGAAAATAATCAATAAATCACATTAAAAAAACAGACTTCAGCTATATTAATGCAAACACCTCCTGTGATGAAATATGAGCCATAAAAACTGTCAAAAAGAGACTGGGCCCAATCCTTGCAACTGCCACTAAATGAACTAAAAGGTGGCCTTTGAAAATGGCCAGCTTAAAACAATGAGTGCTAAAAATCTATTCAAACCAAAGATTAACTTTATTCTCAGTGACTGGTCATGAAACTGCTTAGCGACATAATTGAGAATGGTGACTTAACTCTAGTAGTACTATCATTTTTAGAAGGTACAAGTTTATGTAGTTCAATACATAATAAATGATTTAAAAACCACAACCTCTTATAATAAAATCCAGTACAGTTAAGTGGTCTATTCAGTCCACTATTGTTACTTTCAATTCCACACTACAATATTTTCTGTTACTTTCTGGTCAATAATACAAATATAAGGTTTTTAGGACTGCCTCAAATACTTTTTTTAATGAGGCAAAGTAAAATAAACATGATTTTAAACTTTTTAGGCAAAACTATTTTGGAAACTCTGACTCCTGCCAAACATTGTCTCCAGCCAAAAATCTAATCTATCCTTCCACAAGTCTCTAGCCTAAACCATGCTATACGCCAAACCATGTTTAATCCACTCCCCTCCCTAGAGCCAACCACTAGAATTTCACTAAAAAAGTGAGATACCATGATATATCAAGGGCATCACTGTGACATGCCAAACTACCTGGTTAGATAAAAATGAAGGGAGAGATACTATGGAGAAAAAAAATGAAAAGAGAGGGTACAGCAATTAAAGAAAATGGGGATGAATTTAACAATAGCTAAGAAACAATATTAAAGGAATAGCATGGATTAGGAAAGTACTGTATGTGAAAGCAAACCTGAGGATTATTCCTCCACTCTACATTTCTTCTTCTTAATATATACTGAAATATTTTACATCTGAAATAATATGCCATTTGTGATTACTTCAAAATAATATTGAGACAGAGAAGTATTCCAGGAATGGTGGAGTAAGGACCTCTGAAAATCCGCTCCTCCGTAAAAGCAACAAGAACACTGGCAAAATTGTCAAAATCAACTTTGTTAGAATGCTGGAAATTAACCAAAGGCTTGCAGCCATCTGATGAGCATTTCTTCAAGAAAATGGCTGAATCTCAGTATGAAGAGTGAGCTCTCTCTGGCATTTTGACTTGCTCTGTTTCCCATGCCCTCTCCCCAGCTCCATGACTGCCTTGAAAACTACACCTTCCCAACTACTGCAGCTGTGCAAAGAAGCAACACAGCAGCCACTAGAGGGAGCAGAACAGGCCTAGAGCTCCCCAAAAGCTCTTTCCCCAGAGAACAGTGCTATTTGACCTGACTGACAGCACCCTGAGAAGCTCCATTCTCAGACTTGTCTTCATTTGACCTGACTCTGTATGAACACTATCTGTAGTTCATCAGTGAAAAAACAATTAGAGGCAAAGGTTTAACACCACAGCTGCCTGAGGCAGCATTATAAGTTGGCAATATGAACAGGCTGACCAAAAACTGCAATGGAAAAACTTGGGGGGAAAAGATGTCCACAGGGGTCTTTGAAAAGCTCAGTCATATTCCTGGGTATCTAGAAGGCTGCATATATGCAGGGCTATGTGCAGGCACAGAGAAGACCTGAGGAGCTGTGAATCTCTCACCTCTGGCTGGCACTGAGGCTCTGCACAAAGAGGAACTGAAGGCTAAGGCAGAGCTGTAAACTGCCTACCAGAACACTGAAGACATCCCCAAAATACACAAGTAGCCCTTCAGCAAAGGCTGGTAGATTTACTGGTTGGTAGACTTAAGGTGTTTAAGGAAGTCTCTGTCCAATCATTAGCTGACCACTAAGCTAAATGAGCAGAGACTTCAAAAGACAGAGAAGACAGACTTCGCAGAACTAGTCCAGAAAAGTTACTAAACAAACAGCAACAACAACAAACAGCAAACACAAAAAACCCTTGCTGGCAAGGGGAATCTGATTTCCAGACTTGCCACAGTGTATTACTTAAAATGTCTAGTTTTCAACAAAAAATTACAGAAAACAAGAAAGTATGGTCCCTATACAGGGAAGGAAGATGGTTTTCAATGGAAATAGACCCTGAGGAAGTCCAGAAGTTGAACTTATTAGACAAAGGTTTTAATCAACTATTATAAATATATACAAGAACTAAAGGAATCCACGTCTGACGAATTAAAAGCAAATTTGAGAATAATATACCACCAAATGGAGAATATCAACAGAGACAGAAATTATATAAAGGAGTCAAATATAAATTCTGGGGCTTCCCTGGTGGTGCAGTGGTTGAGAGTCCGCCTGCCGATGCAGTCTGGGAGGATCCCACATGCCGCAGAGCGTCTAGGCCCATAAGCCATGGCCGCTGAGCCTGTGCGTCCGGAGCCTGTGCTCCACAATGGGAGAGGCCACAACAGTGAGAGGCCCGTGTACCGCAAAAAAAA